CGCGGGTCGGGTTGTGCCGCGTCCTGGGCGCGCCCAGCCAGCCAGCGGGAGGGGCTGCCCGTTCCTGGCTGGCACCCACTGGCCCCATCGAGCAGACGGGCTCAGGGAAGCTGACCAGGTATCTTTGGTCACCTGCCAGCTCCAGGAGGAGGTGGGGGTGAGAGGATGGTTACGGTGCGGGAGCACCCCAGCCCCGCCCTTTTGGCTCAGGGTCCCTTGAGATGAACTGCAGCCCAGTTGACCGAGCGGGCCCTTCTCTGCTGCCCTACTGCTGCCCCGTGAGGACCTTGGCCTTTCTTCACTACTGGGGCCAGCGCCTGCGTCTCGTTACCTGGGGCCAGCGCCTGCCTCTTAGTTTTGCAGTGAGCCCAGCAAATTCTGCAGCCACCCTGAATAAGGAGGATGCGCACAGGAGGCAGGGCCCATGGGCTGGTGCCTGCAGCCCCTCTGGCATGAGGATGGCCGAGAGAGCAGGCAGGCTGGCTCTGGGAGAGGCGAAGGAGGAGCAACGAGGAGGCCTCGGTCTGCCAGTGCCACCCCGGTGGAGGCCTCGGTCTTGCAGTGCCGTCCAGCTGGGAGGCCCACAGCCGGGGCCAGAGAGAGCCTCGAGGCCAGTCCCCCGAGGGAGGCCTGAGACATGGAGTGAACCAGGGCTCCTGCCTGCTCCATCGCCCTCGGAGGGACTCTGCCTTCGGAGTGGAGCAGAGCTGCAGACTAGGTGCCCAATAGATGGCCCAGAGGCCTCAGGAGGTGGGCGAGGTGGACAGTGGGGAAGGGTGGAGCTTGGAGCCTTGGTTCTCAGGGAGGTCTTGGGCAGCCCTGAAACTCTCTGGGCCTCAGTTTCCTCCAGGGTTAGTGAGACCTAGGAGAGGCTGGGCTGTGAAAGCGCTTTGGAGGGTGAGGGGCACTGGGCCCCAGCGTCCAGCCCTGGGACCTACTCTCCTGCAGGCTGACCTACCTCTGGCCCCAGGTGGGGGTGCATGACTGGGCCTTGGGAGGGTCACCTAGGTTGCACTTGGGCCTGAGGCACTCTGCCTACCCAGGTTTAAGAGCTGGGGTGCCGGCCTGGGGGGCCCGTTGAGGGAAGCAGTTGCTTGAGAGGAGAGCAAGGCTGAGCCCAGGGCTGTGGAGCTCCAGGGTCTGAGAGGGCAGCCAGACCCTGGATCCAGCCGTACCTGAAGAAAAGCTGCCGCTGGTGGGCTCTGAGATGCATGCCAAGGTCTCCTCCTGGTAAACCAGGGAACTTGGCCGAGCATGGGAAAGGCGGTCGCCTTCGAGCCAGGCTGTCCTCTGCCACCAGGCATCCTCTACTGGGCTCACCCTTCAGGACAGCACACGGATAAGCCACTCAAGAGCCCACGGGGCCCCAGGTGTCTCCACCAGGGCCTCTGGCATTGCCAGGGTGGCAAGATTGAGCCAGGGCAGGAGACGCTCCTGGAAAACCTCCACGGTCGTCACGAGGGCACTGGCAGGTCTGCTTGGCTCAGCAGACAAACCGAGCAGCGAGAGGGCCGTGCAACGCCAGGGCAGCCTGCGGTCTGCAGGGGTGTGGGGAGTGGGCAAGGAGACGCCCGGGGTGCAGACACCCCTCCCCCGGGTCCCTGGGAAAGTGGGTGGCCCTCTGTGTTCTTGCAGGGGCAGGACTGCTCCGGGTCTGGGGCTTCACTGTCAAGACCCCGCTGGGCTTTCGGCTTGCAGCCTGGGTTGGCCAAGGGCCCGCTCTCCTGCCGTGCACAGAGGGCGCCGACGCCATGGCATGGGGCCGCTGGGCAAAGCCTCTCATTCCCCAGGAGGGCTGCTTTGCTCTCTTGCCCCCAGGGCTCAGACACGCCTGGCCCTGCTCAGGAGAGCGGTTGCCCTGTGTCCTGGTTGTGGCTGTGTGGGGGCGCATGTTCATGCATGCACGCCGCCAGACTGGGGCGGGGTGGGGAGGGCACCCAGCGTCTCCACCCAGCCTCCTGGCGCTCCGGTGCTGCCAGACCCACGGCGGGAGGGGCGCTTCTTCTGCCCAACTGTGCCTTAGGACTGGAAGGGACAGGCTAGAGGAGAGCGGTTGCCCTGTGTCCTGGTTGTGGCTGTGTGGGGGCGCATGTTCATGCATGCACGCCGCCAGACTGGGGCGGGGTGGGGAGGGCACCCAGCGTCTCCACCCAGCCTCCTGGCGCTCCGGTGCTGCCAGACCCACGGCGGGAGGGGCGCTTCTTCTGCCCAACTGTGCCTTAGGACTGGAAGGGACAGGCTAGCCCCTCCCGGTGCTCTGGCCAGCTCGCATCAGACACACCCCCACAGATGCACACTCAGAGACGCAGCAGAGACACACTCAGACGTGCCCGGACACGCCACGCCTGCACACACGCACACCCCTCCCTGAGGGCTGGGCAGACGTCTCCGTGAATTGGAGCTAGTGCCTCGTCCCTACTTCCCTGACAGGCAGCGGTTCCCAGAGGAGCCTCCCAGAGCCCCAGGGGGCTCGGGGAGTCCCAAGAGAGGCATGCTGTCTTGCTCTCTGGGCACAGCCACTGCCCTGCCGACAGCTGCTGCGGGCCAGAGGGGTCCAGAGTTCTAGGAGGGGTTAGGACACTGAGGGTTCGCCCAGGGGACTGGGGCTACGGGCGTGCACATACGGCATGTTTACACACGGCATGCTTGCACACGGACACGTGCTATCTGGGTCCATGTCTGAGAATAGGACAGGCACATGGGAGTCCTGGAGTAATCTTGAGGGCTTCTTGGAGGGGGAAGCCTGGGGCAAGGTGCCAGTTGGGCTGCGTCCAATGGAATATGTCTGGGGGGGCTGCCACTCCACCCACCAGGCCTCGGGTTCTCAGCCTCACCCCAGAGCAGAGCACGGCCAGGCAGAAGCCCTCCACGTGTGGTAAGACCCGGGCAGCTCCAGTGGCTACCCTGATGCGTGACCTGCATGGGGGTGGGCAGAGACGTGGTCGACCCTCCAGCAGACACCAGCCAGACTCTGGCTGAGGGCCTGCCAGGACCTAGCTGAGGGCCGGCCAAGCTGTGCACCACCCAGGGGGGCGCCTGCCTCCTGTCCCCCAGCCGGGCCCTCAGTGGACAGCTGCCACACATCTGGCTGGGTCCCCTCAGGGCCTGACTGGAAGTGAGCCCTTGCCCAAGGCCTGGGAGGGGCGCCGGCGGGGGTCACAGTGTGGGCAGCCAGCCTGCAGCTGTGTCCTGGGAGGCTGTTCCAAAACTTGGGGACGGGGCTGGCCCCCGCAGCACGCAGCTGGGTTGGGGTTGGGAACTGCAGGGTTCCTGCTGCTCTGAGCTTTCGGAGGGCCGCGGCTGCCCCCAGCTCACAGCGGCCAGGCCCGGGCTCTGGAGGGGCGGCAGGTCTGTGCTCTCTCCTGCCCGTCACTGCCCTGCACAGATGCAAAGGCTTCCGCTCACTCAGCAGCACTTACCGCCAACCTGGGAGCTGGGAGGGGCCACGCCCACTGTCCCTCCAGGGCCCCCACTCCTCGCTGGGGGGCGGTTGTCCGCCTGCCTCCTCCGGATCCATCTCCTCCAGGAAGCCTTCCTGAATTGCCCTTCCCTCTTGATTGGTGTCCTTGGTAGGAGTCCCTTTCAGAGCATGGTGAGACCACATCACTTGATCTTCAAGCTCCCTGTGCCCCCTCTGAGCCTCTGCCCTCAGCCTCCCCACATGGACACCCGGACCCCAGGGGCTGGGCAGAAAGGGCTCCAGACCCAGCCTATGGAGGGAGATGACGCTGCCCCTTTGGCGGGCACATGGGTTCTGAGTGGGCGGGAGGCAGACCAGGGGGCTGTCGGCGTCCTCCCACTGACTGAGGGCAGTTCCCGGAGCCGTCCGCTGAGTATAGAGCAGGGTCCCCACTCCTCCTCCTCGCTCTCTGCCCTGTGCTCAGCAGCCAGGCGGTGTGACAGTCACTCAGAATGGGCCGGCTCTGCTGACCCCACCACGGCCAAGCTCTCTGTGGCCAGCCCACCCCCGTGGCCAGCCTGCAACCCTAGCAGGACGGTGCCTGGGCTCCACAGACACTGCCACCAAAGCCGCTGCAGGGGAACCCCAGGGCCACCCCTCCACCCTCCACCACCCCACTGCAGCAAGCTCAGCGCTATTTCCGGGGTTCTCCCAGCAGCACTCCCCCTTCCTAGAGAGTGGAGGAGGGACAGGGGAGCTGCAGAGAGACCTCAGGGAGACACTCCCACCCGGGAGGGAAGCAAACGCTGAGAGGGCAATTTGGGAAGACAAGCCATCCTCTGAGCGCCTGGATGCAGCCGTGCCTGAAGCCTATTCCCTGCATTCCTCGTCCACGGACAATGATGAGCACAGTCAGGGGCCACGCCCACTTGGGCCGGCTGCTCCCCGCTCTCCTTTCCCATGGCCCTTTTGATTGGCTTCGTCAGCGGCAGCTAAACTAGGCAACTGCATTTCTGCATCTCCCGTTCCCGCCTTCCCACCACCACCGGACGCCTAGGACCAACTCTGCCTGGTCCGCAAAGACAGGGAAGTCAGGCCCGGCATTTTATTCCAAACTGGTGGCCTCAGATGGCACCCAGGCCCTGAGCTCATCAGGATGCACCCGGAGCTGGCTCAGAATGTCACCAAGGGGGAAAAAAAAGACAAGGAACAAAAAAAGAAAGATCTACATTCCCATATTCAAATGAGCTCCAGCAGAAAGAACAGACAGCAGCTCCTCCTGAGGCGCCCGTGCAGGCCCTGGTCTGACCCTGGCCAGCGCCTTGGCCATGGCTGGCAGGACAGCCAACCACACCGCCTTCGGCAGCCCCAGGGCCCATCATTTCTCATTAGGGGGCTGCGGCCCTGCAGCGAGACAGGGCTCTCAGGGTGGCAGCAGGGAGGAGGGAAGAAGGCGTCTTCTAGCACTGCAAGTCACCAAGGCCACGCCGCCAGCTGTGACCGCCCACGGGGCACGGGGCATGCCCAGCTCTGCTTTCCTGGCCCAGAGCGTTTGCCCCAGACCCCAACTGTCCCCAAGGCCACCCCTTGAATGCCTGACTGGCACTCTCACCAGAGCTTGTGCCACAAACCGGCTCTACCTCGCTAGTGTCAGTGTCACCCTTCCAGACTTGGCCTGGGCCCCTGTCCCTCACTTGTGACCCCTCACACAGCGGCTCTGAAAGGTCAGAACGTGGCTGGGTCCCACCTCCCAGCCTCCTCCACCAGCATGGTCCTCACTGCCACAGCCCCTCACTCTAGGCTTCTGCCCTCACCCTAGACGTGCAGCACAGCCATCCCGTCCTGCGCCCGCATCCCGCATCCACCCCCAAACCGCTCCCCACGCCCTGCACCCGCACCCCACAGCCACCTCTCACTCCCCACACCCCTGTGTCCTGCACCCACACGCATACCTCGCTCTCTCCAGCCACGCTCTCTTCCCTCTGGCCTTCACTTCTGCTGTTCCCACGAGATAGCTCCCTCCTGCCCAAGTGTGTCCTCCGGAACCTGGGGGCAGTGGATGGCATGGTGGTTAAGGCTCTAGACTTCCATGTGGTCAGTGGCGGTTCAAGTCCCAGACCTGGTGGGCTGAAAATCACTCCAGGCACATGTGCGTTGGTGGGTGCCCAAGACCCCAGGCAGAGAGCAGAGAAGGGGTTAACTTCTCACTCTCCTGCTGTCTGTCAGGCAAGTACACATGCCCTGTGGCAAAAACCTTAAAACAACAAAGAAAAAAGGAACTGGGCATGGATGTGGTCCCCAGAAAGCAGCTGCCTGGAATGGCCGGAGGTTAAGGAATTTCTTAGGGATAATGCCTGGGACAGGGAGGCTGGCTCAGGGCCACCTGGTGGGCATTCTCTGCTCTCCGGCGCTTACCCCTCCCTCTCAGCAGTCCCCAAGGCAGTGGGGCTGGCCGGGGCACTTGGCTCCTGCACCTCCCCACAGCGGGTACTGCACTGTCCACTCACAGGAGCAAGCAGTGGGAGTGCGTGTGCCCGCCCGCTGGCCCCTGCCAGAGGGCATCCCCTCCCACCCCACAGGACAGGGCTCCTCCCCTTCCCTGCTGGTCCTGGGCCCAAGGAGCTCGGAAGGACTGGGGGACAGCTGCAGCCTGAGTTCAAGGGAGGCCCTTCTTAGTGCCCTGGTGGCAGCACGCCCCGGACAGGACTCTAACCCTGCAGAGAGGTCCCCTGTGCCTGGCCAGTGGGCTGCAGGGGGCCCACGACTTCCCCGCCAGACCCTTGGAAGTGTGAACTGTCCTTGGAGGTGCAGAGCCTGTCCTGGCCAGACTTCCAGGATGCCGGCCTGTTTGTGTGTGCGTTGACAGCGGTCCATACAGCCTGTCCGACTGGGCACCCACTCCTTGAGACGGAGTCCGCCGGGACAGGACGCCCTGTGCACAGCTGTCCAGGGCCTGCTTCACTTTCCCCACACTGCCTTGATGGAGGCAGGCCTGGCTCGAGCACACCCAGCTCCTGCCAGGTGCTGGTCACTCTGGCCTCAGGGCGCCACCCTCGGGGCTGGGCAGGAGTGTAGCCACTAAGCACCTGAGCTCTGGCCCTGTGTGACCTGGGCTGGGGTCCCACCCCCCCGGGCAGGGACAGTGGGTCCTGCCGTCCTATAGAGTGACTGGGACCGAGGTCCCATGTCAGTGCTCGCACCATCTGGTGGCAGGGAGCTTGCTACTGCTGGTCATGGTTATTATCAAGCCACGAGCCTCCCCTGCCCTGTGCCCTGCTTACAGAGGGAGCTCTTGGGTTCAGGGGTCCAAACCAACTCCCCTCCCCGTGTCCCCAGACGAGGAGCTTTGCCCCTGGCCTTTGACTGCCACACAGGGGATGCCAGCGAGGTGCCGGGCCGGGGTGTCCCCGTGCTGCTCCGTGGTGACACTGACACCAGGGGCAGCTGCGGGGAGGTGGGGCTGCCCCTCCTGAGCTTCCTGCTCAGCGTCCTGGGATGGTCAGCAGATGGGCGGCCCAGGAGGCCTGGACGGCTGTGATTAAAGGTGGGTGAGGTAGGGCGAGCGGCCACTGGGCCCCCAGGTCCCTCACTCTTCGGTACCAACTCCAGCCTCTGTCAGCTCCCGCGACCCCGAGGACCACTGTCCCCCAAGGTTGCCTGAGACTTTGCAAGGACCCTCACAGACTCCTGCTGGATCCACCCCTCAAGTTGGGTGCTGAGCAGTCCACGTTCCTCCTTCCAAGGCAGGGACCCCGAGAGGCCCCCATGCAGTCCATCCCCCTGACCTGTGCAGCGCTGTCTGGCTGGAGCGGAGAACTGGCTTGGGGGGTGAGGGAGGGTAAGTCTGCACAATGGGGGCTGTGGAGGGGGGGAGTCTTGGTGCACACAGAGGCCACAGGAAGGTGAGGGGGACAGGTTCTGAGGGGCCAGCTTTGAGGAATTCGCACCTTGACCTCTCTAGGTGCATGGCCCTGCCCACCAGTGAGTTGGGGTGGGGCAAGGGCAAACGGGGGTCTTAGAAGGAGCAGGTTTGCTGGTGGAGGTAAGTATATCCCGTGGCCCAAGAGGGCTTCTGGTGCTGCCCTCACCAGGCCAGCTGACCCGGGAGCCTGGGGCTCCTCCCTGCAGCTGGCCCTGGGGGGAGCAGAGCCATCCCAGCACCCCCGCCCCAGGGGTGGGTCCCGCCTCGTGGAGAGGCTGCCATGGCATGTGGGGTGCCCCTGTGGCCCTGGTCCCGCCCACACTTCTGCCCTCTCTGAGGCCTGCCGCCTGCCCGCTGGCCCTGGGGACAGCGCGGTGGCGGCTGCTTCCCTTTCCCTCGGGCGCTGTCGGCACTGCGTCTGCTGTGTCTAACTGCTGCGCCTGGAGAAGGGCTTCCCTGGCCTGTGGGTATCTGTGTGTCTGGCTGTGGGCGTGTCTGTCTGTCTGCTGTGAGTGTCTCAGACTGAATCTGTCCTTGACGCTGTATCTGAGCACTTGCGTCTGGAGGGAGGGGACGCGCTCCTTCCCCCGCTGCGCTCCCCCTCCCCTCCCGCAGGCACGAACCCAGGCGGGGGCGCGGGCGGC